GTTGCTCCGAACCTTAATTTTGGGCACAGATTCTTCGAGGGCGTTCTCAGAACATGAGGCCGAGGTCTAAGCTTACTTCCAGGTATTTTGAGTTGGCATCATTTCTGATTTGATCTTCGCAGAAAGATGCTTCGAAGTAATCGTCACATAAGTACACACAGAATCTTCATTTTTTTACCACTGGTGTTAAGAACTACACGGCACATCTTAGCATCTTTGCAGATTTCAGAAACAAACCGTGCCTCCAAACTATGTCACGGCCTGTGAGCACGACTCCAGTCTTTTGCCTCCTTTGGAAGTTAGATTCTATTAGCAATGTTAATGCCATTACTCGTCCCTAGAGGTTTGAAGCTTGCCTGATCATGCGGCAGTGCTGACTATGTGAGAGGCGTGGTAATAGAACCCGGTCCAGCAACTTGTATGCTGTGCTGATGAGCGAGCTAAGACCGTAGCCTGACGCTTCATTCGACTGATTCTTGGGTTTGAAAATGACGACCAATTTTGCCGTAATCAAACTGCCGATACGACATGTGCAATAGATTTCTGCGAGAAGTGCGATGTGCCATTGTCCCAGATGTTTGAGAAAATCCATAAATTTCTGCCGCTTTTCTCCATTTGATTTCAATGAGACTGGCACCAATTTCACCCCTTGTGAAATGGTCCTTGTTCTTCGAGGTCAGGGGTAATAGGGCGATGATCAGTCAACTCTCGACGAGTCTCTTGCTTGCCTTTCTTCTCTGCCCGATACTTAGCGTTCCATAAGAGTTTAGCAGGGACCGCGCTGGCGGTCACTTTGTAGACCGTTGTTCCTGAGGATTCTTCGTTCATAAAGTAAGTAGCAAGTTCCTTCCCTTAGGGCTCGAGCGTGTTAAGTTGAAGTTTTTGACAGTGTCTCGCCATTCGCCATCGCTGTCGTCTTCCGGCATTCAGGGACTGTAGAAACTGGTTACTGTGCTCGAGTCGGCAGTCTTTTTCATATTCTTTTAGAAGCAGCTCAGTCTCTGGCAACCAACATGGCATGTACGCCTTCCGGCATCATGTGGGAATGACTCACGGCTGCTTCACTGAAGATTTTGCAAAAAAAATCAGTTTCAACGGGATCGTTCAGAATCGTGTGACTAGCCGGAATCGGTGTTTTACTTTTGTCAGTGGAGATAAAGCAGAAGTCCTGTTTAGATTACAGTTTTTCACTGAAGTTACAAAAAGGAGACATGTGGAAGGGGTCAAGTCAATTTTAATCTCAAAAACATGGGTAAATAAATCTATTCATGCCCTCTATCCAATAAATGAAGCATGACGACTGTTGGCAAAGAAAATGGAAGATATTGACCGTGTTTCAAGGGTGACATCAAGACAGATAACTGAGATAACAATTTTAACTTAATTCAATTAATTTAACAAATGAATATTGCTAGGGAAGAAAACAAGAGGAATATTACAGAGAAACGGCGCAGTATGGTAAATGGCGACACAGAAACTGTCAAGAGTGACCAAAGAATAAAACTTTTGGAATCAGCTGACTCAAAAGGAGGATCCGTGTTAAAAAGCACACTAGGAAAAGGAAACTTATCTACAGAATCCTATTCCTTCGTAAGCAGTCATTCCCTATTGCGATGTTAACTCTGTTTAGTAGTGCCTTGCTGGAACAAATTAAATATTTAACAAGGAGCAGGTTATAAAGATTATTTGGGGAAGGTGGTGATTTAAACTGCGACCCCTTACGATGAAACTAATACCGTACATTAGACAGGGATGATGACTGTCACTGCAAATCAGAAGAGTGATGGCACCAGTACAAACTGTCACCCTTCTTCCAACGTTGGAATCTTTAATTAAAGCTATGGCTGGCGGAACATTGGAAGCACTGCCTGATGCGTCTGCCTCCGCGATTCGAAAGGAGAAGCGGTCGTGGAAGATGAAGACGAAGAAGATTAATTATCGGCAGAAGCAAACAGGAAAGACTTTGAATCTCCTCACAACAGTCATAATTTTGTTTCTGAAAATCAATAATCATAAAATTGAGATAGATTTTGACTGTCAAATAGCAAAGCAACGGTTAACTGTGAGTGAAATTAAGAGCATGAAACGTCATCACGCTAGTCACAGTATATCTGTAATATTAGGAAGCACAATTCAAGGTAAACCATTGAAAACGCTTTTATATGCCCTTTCTGAACAAATATTACGTTCTGAATGTCCTTCGGTAAAAGATGTGGTTGCCCTTCAGCTAGACGATAAAAAAAGATTTAAGAACCTTACAAGTTAAAATTCACAGACTGCACTAACAATAACTGATACTACGCGAAGATGAAAAAATGTCACGGTGAATACCAATTCAGAACATAAGCAACATTGACAAATTGCCAAACAGCTGGGTATAATTCTTTTCGTTTCTCACACTAAAGCACTAAAGATGCACACGTATGGCATATGGATTGCTGATTGTCAAGTAATGTGCAGTTGGGCGGCTAGAATTCGCTATAATAAATCGTAACCCCGAAGTTGATTTACTGTGGCTCCGTGGTAGCAACTAGCATCGGAACAGTACGGTACTGCCGGAAGTTCAGAAGTAAATACTGCCGATCTGTCGTTTAGACATGAAATAAGAGGAGTCAGTAAAACAAGAACATAAAAGTATTTGAAAGGTAACTGACTTTTGAAATTTCCCCGCCTAAAAACATCGTCGTTTAGTCTTTGTTGCTGAAAATGCTTCGAGATGATTTCGAAGTGCGAAGCTCG